GCTCCCATCACATGCTAGCTGTGGAATCTTAACACCCCTGTGTCTCAGTTGTCTCATCCATGAAATGCAGATAGTAATACCTGCCTCATGCAGTTGTTATGAAAATGAAGTTTGATAACCTTTGCAAAGCATTTAGACACTGAGTGGAACATATGCAATATTCAGTAAGTGTTAGCTGGCATTAACTAATATTATTCTGTCGCTCACATAGCTCTATAGTTAAACATAAACATCATTCTATTGATGACAGTGCAGACTCTTCAAGAGCATTCCTCTGTTATGTCAGCTAATTTTACTTTTCAAATGTGCACCTTCTAGAGAATTTTGGAACATATGAGATGAAAATGTAGATGGGGAACTACAAAATTAAAGACTGGATTTTTTATAAGAATGTTTTTTGTTTTATTTATTTATTTTTGTTTGAGACAGAGTCTCGCTCTGTTGCTCAGGCTGGGAGTGCAATGGCATGATCTTGGCTCACTGTAACGTCTGACTCTCAGGTTCAAGCAATTCTCCTGCCTCAGCCTCCTGAGTAGCTGGGATTATAGGTGCGCACCACCACGCCCAGCTAATTTTTGTATTTTTAGTAGAGACAAGGTTTCACCAAGTTGGCCAGCTACTCTCAAACTCCTGACCTCATGATCTGCCTGCCTCAGCCTTCCAAAGTGCTAAAATTATAGGCGTGAGTCACCGTGCCCAGCTGAGTGCTGATTTTTTTTAAGTTAACTTCAAGCCTTCCTGAGCTGAGAAAAATAAACATACCTATGTCTTAATCAACTATTGCCATAATAATGCTGTGCAATAAATCACCCCAAAATGCAGTTCCCTACAACAAAAGTATTTATTTTCATGATCACAGGTTTTTAAAATGACTGTGCTTCAGTCATTTTATATAGGCTGGGCTCAGCGGGGTTGTTCTACTGTGAGCTGTGAGTTGCCTGGGCTTGGTTCCAGACGGTGACTTGGGTTCAAGCTTTGCTCCATGGATCCCTCATCCTCCTTAAGCCAGGAGCTACAGAGGCATATTCTTGTCATGGCAGATGTCAGGAACACAAGCAACCAATCCATTTATGCAGCACATGTACACCCTTTACTCACATTCTCTCCACTAGCATTTCATTAGCTAAATCAAGTCCCATGGTCAAGCCCAAAATCAATGGGGTGGAAACATTCTCTGCTCACAGTGGGAGGACACTGATATATATAATCTTATTATAGGGGACTGAAGAATTGGGACCACTAATCTAATCTGCAAAGTGCTGGTTTTGAATTGTCTATAGTCTGTCTGTGTCCAGAAATCTGTAGATCTTTAGAAGAAAAGACAACAGTATACCAGCTGAAATTACACATTAGATCGGTTCCCCAGTATAGCTATGGATTTATTCAGACTTACTCTCCTTCATCTTCCTATCACCACGTAGAGTTCACAAAAGGAACTACAAATATCAGGATAGCAATCCGTGCTCATGTTGCTGAGTTTGCCCTTGCAGAATTCTCGCATGTAGGATTCAACATGGATTGCTTTCTTAGCATAGTCACTTTTCAGCAGGAGCCTTTTATTTTATTTCTATAAAATTTCTGAAATGTTCTTGCAAACAGAACATGCTCGACAAATATTGGTTGAAAGAGTAGGAGGCAGAGTACTAATATGAGAGAAATTAGGACACAACCAGTAGAATTTTCACAGGTTACTGTGCTTTTTCAGCATGGGAAAGTAAAGTGTTATATCACACTCAACATGAACGCTATGGAAATTTATCATCTGAAGTAAATATGTGATCTTAAAGATATATTAACTAAGAAAATGTAGCTTCTGTGTGACATTATTTAAACTAACAAAATAGCCTCACACTTCCCTATATGTCTTCACCTTTATTGTAACCCCTTTAAAATCTCTTCTAAAACCTCAGGTTTACATACCCCTCTGCTTAACTGTTTATTGTTTATGTGCTTCCTGTGAAGACAGCTAGACAGACAAGACTGATAAAAAGAAAGCTTGTCCTTATCAAAAACTTATGGGGACTGTGTTAATGCGCCTTGCTTTTTCTACCAGTGGAAGTCCCCTGCTTCACTAAGAACTCACCCATTTGCAGCATTTATAATGGATGGAAAGTTCTAAACCAGCCAAAATGTCCTTCTAACAGAATGAAATGAATGCTAATCTAATTGGCCAAGAATGCATATGCTGGGCTTGGGGAAAAAGCCTTCTACATTGGTTCCCCCTGCTGGATTTGAGGATGCACTGTCTTGGAAATTGATGAAAGCAATATACCTGGACCTTTTTATCTGAGGGCATGTCACTGGAATGGCAAATCCAGCATTCTTCTAGAAAGCATCCACTCTGTGATAAATGTGCCAAGTGTTTCTTGAGTTTGCTTCCCAAGGGCAGAAATACTGCAAATAGAAAACTGTGCCACTGAGACTCAAAGTAGAAAACAAAAGCATGCCACTCAGATGTCTGTCCTAGGGAGTGGGATGGCCCACAAGGGAACTAAGGGTAAAAACCCAGAAGCAATGGACTAGGTAAACTGCCAGACTGGTTGTTATTATTAGAATGCTGCATTTCAGGATCTGACCATGAATTTCCTTTATATGCATTACAACTATTAGAACCAATTCCTTTCATTTCTGTAATTTAATTGCTGCTGCTTTTCTTTCCCTTCTTATCTTCCTCTCTTCATAAGAAATCTCCCTACCCCTACTCTGTAGAACATGTGGTAACCAAACTCATTTTAAAGGAAGCTTGTCACCTGCAGACGTCGGGGCTATTGTGAAATTGTTAAAAGGTCTGTCTGTTGAGGGAGACAGAGAAGCTGGCAGATTTTTCCTGCTTGACTCTGAGTCCATTTGGTGACTCTGAGTCCAAAGGGACAGATATTGGCTAAGTTTTTCGCACATGCCCCTGCACCAACTTGGGCTTGTTAAGACAGCAAGAACAGTGGAAGTGACTATTTCCTCCCTAGAACAAAGGCCAATGCTGTTTTCTTCATGAAGAACCAGAACAGGGAAAATGTCAGATAATCGTATGGTACTTGTAAACATGCCATTTAGAACACTGAATTTAAGTGGCGTACAGAGCCACCCCAGGGTCTCATATTCAGGCCAGGTGTGGTGTCTTATGCCTATGATCCCAGCACTTTGGGAGGCTGAGGTGGGAGGATTGCTCAAGGCCAGGAGTTGAAGACCAGCCTAGGCAACAAAGCAAGATCCTGTCTCTCCAAAAAAATAAAGAATTAGTCAGGCCTGGTGGCATGTGCCTTTTAGGCCTAGCTGCTTAGGAGGCTGAGGTGGGAGGATTGCTTGAGTCCAGGAGTTCAAGGCTGCAGTGAGCTACAAACATGCCACTGTACTCCAGCCTGGACAACACTCTGTGTCTATAAAAAAACAAAAAACAAAAGAAGTAGTTATATTGTGCCCGCCATCACAAATGGCACAGGGCTAAGCCAACACAGGGGATCCTGTACATATATTTATTTATTGACTACATTCTTCGCCAACCTCAGAATGTCATTCTTTTTTCCTTTTCTGTCCTTCTGTCATAAACTTTTTTCCCCATTTAGATCAAATCTAAATGTTTCCCCATCTGAAACTTTCTTCAATAGGTCGTCTTCCAGAGCTGCAGTGAAATGCTTCCCCACTGTTTCTGAGGTTCTTGCTTCAGCTCTGCTACTGGTGGCCTCCTCTTGGGAGGATTCTTTTGCCTTGGAATTAAGATTTGGTAGGAGGAGGAGATGGCAGGTCAAAGCACTCAAGCAAAACAACATTACGTGATTCAGGCCCACTTATGGGTCAGGAATTTTTAAAGGGCTCAGCTGGGTGTCTCTTCTGCTCCTGTGACACTGGCTGAGGTCATCTCTCAGCTGCATTTAGTTAGCAGCTGGCTGGGTGGAAAGGTTCAAGAAGGCTTGGCTCATAAGTCTGGCCCTTTGTGCTCCCCACACATCCCTTCTCTCTATTTCTGTATGGCTCCCTCCATTTGGAAGGCCATCTTCAGCTTCTTTACAGCATGAGGGCTGGCTTCCCAGAGGGAGAAAGTGGAAGCTGCCAGTTCTCGGAGGGTAGCTAAGAAGTCCCAGAATATCATTTCCACCATATTCCATTGGTCTAAAGAAGTTTCAGGGCCAGTCGGAACTTAAAGAGAAGGGAGGGACTCCATTCCTTCAGAGACAAAGTATTTGTTTAACCCACATGAGTATAGGTTGGTAACTTCTGCTTCTATTTTCTATACTTAACTACAAGTTTTATACTTTGTTCTTATGTCTTTGTACAAATTCATCATTTTTATTTGCTTCATTTTCCAAACCAAAAGCAATTTGGAGATCCTCCCAGGATTGAGTTATAAAACCATGCCTATACTTAAACTTTAAAAAGTTTATTATTTCAACAGATAAGTCCACGGATACAGTAGCTATTTTAAGACAAAAGAAAGTTTTAGATAGTTGCAAATATACAGCCTTCATCACACTTGACCAGTTACTTTTCATATAACTATATTCTATAGCATAAACTCAACCAACATAATCCGTTCAAGACAAAATATTTTATAGCATAGATATGTTAGATTGCCATATTTAAGTGAAAATTCACCTTTTTTGCAGCATATATGAAAACAGAAATAAAGGGCAAGAAACTTTGCCAACATTCCTTACACAGTTCATGTTGTTTAAGTCAAGGGAGAAAAGTGGACTGGAGTTGAAGTTTGTATCATATTTTGGGAAATGCGGAATGAGGAGAGAGATGTTCCTGGGACCACAGAGTGAATTTTGTTTACCACAGTTAAACATTTCATCTAGCATATCATGTGAGGAGGGATGAGTATAAATGCCCCTATTTATGTAGGTAATTTTTCTGTTCCATTCCTCTGATTCATCTCTCTGCCTGGCTTTATGGGGAGCCATGCTACCTTGATTACAATTAATTTCAGTGCTGCATATTAGCGATAAAGAGAAATTTCAAAAATTGACTTGATGCATTTTTTTCCCCTCTGGTTTTCTTGAAAGATGAGAACGGTCCAGAGGAAAAGCACAGTATGGAAGAAATGGAAGGGCAGAGCGGAGATACAGGTAGGCTCAGATTTCTTTTGAGAAGTCTCCTAGGCCTCATCTGCAGAGGTGAACAAAAAAAACTTCACTCTGTGCTATTGTCTGAAAATGCTTATACCTTTCACCAGATTCACTCCAGTGTTCATTCAGGTCTCCCTCAGGAAGCCACCATCTCCGGTAACTGTGAGTTGACTGTGCTTTCAGACAGAGGGGGACATTCTCACAACTCATTCACCGATTCCATTTTTCTTCCCTGTAACAGTTTACCTGGCAAAGTTCTAAGAGGGCCTGGCAGAAGTTGGAAGTGCCAAGCCAGAGCTTGGCTGAGTTAGGTCAAGCTCAAATTAGTAGATTTAGCTTGAAGGGAAAAAATGAAATAAAAACTGATTAAAGGAAATGAAAAAGAGGCTTTCCCTACACCGTGAGTAGAATGTTCTCTAGTCTATTGCATTAAATTTTGAAGAGCTATGCTTCAGGTTATTTCTCTGCGTATTGTTGGAGATGGTGCAATGGACCTGACTACCCCACACCCAGAGCTCTAAGTAAGATCTAAACCCAGCACTTTGGGAGGCCAAGGCGGGTGGATCATGAGGTCAACAGCTCAAGACCATCCTGGTCAACATGGTGAAACCCCGTCTCTACTAAAAATACAAAAAAAAAAAAAAAATTAGCTGGGCACGGTGGCTCATGCCTGTAATCCCAGCTACTTGGGAGGCTGAGGCAGGAGAATTGCCTGAACCCAGGAGGCAGAGGTTGCAGTGAGCCGAGATCGCGCCATCGCACTCCAGCCTGGGTAACAACAGTAAAACTCCGTCTGAAAAAAAAAAAGATCTAAACCCTTCCTGACAACCCCTCTGTTAACTAAAGGACAGATGTGTGCATTGAAAGTTTATAGATTCCACACTGTAGATTATAAATTGAACATTTTCAAATCAAATAGCACTTAAGGCTCAAAAGGGATTGAAGTCACCTGTGATTTATTATCTCTTTCTACCCATTTTTATACTCAGGTGTGCTTCCTTTAAAAGAATGATTGGCACAATCATTTCACTTACTCACATCCAGCAAAATAAATTAATAAATAAAACTCTCTGTACCCTTGAGTTACCCAGTTATTCTCCCAAGTCTAATGAGCTCCATGGAAGGGCATCTTTGAAATAGTGGGCTCTGCCGTTTGCCAAGCACGTCCTAGGCCATAGGCGAAACTCTTGGAATTAAACCAGGTAGTGTGATAAGTTTTTCACTGTAAACTTCTTACATTAACCTTGGAGATTTTATTGGGAATTGGAAGCTTTTATTATTAACCTGGAAGATGGAATTGAAGAAGGCCAATCAGAGAAAGCACTGAAGCAAGGCAGCAAGGACTTTGTGTACCTGCGACTGTGTCGGCCGGCGCCCTTCGCTGCAACATAGTCCTTGCAATGAAATGAATTTCTGATACAGAAAAATGCTGTTATCCAACCCTCCCCCACCCCTGACCCACACATTATGCTCCATAGCAGATGAGTGAAAAACTGTCACTGTTTTTATTGTTTGGGGCTGTTGAGGTTTCACAGGTTTTATTCACTCGCTGCTCTGTCCCAAACTGCCTTTTTTTCTTTTTTTTTTTGGAGACAGAGTCTCGCTCTGTCACTCAGGCTGGAGTGCAGTCGTGCAATCTCAGCTCATTGCAACCTCCGCCTCCTGTGTTCAAGCGATTCTCGTGCCTCAGCCTCCTGAGTAGCTGGGACTACAGCCACGCACCACCATGCCCGGCTAATTTTTTTTTTTTTTTTTTTTAGTAGAGACAGGGTTTCACCATGTTGGCCAGGCTGCTCTCAAACTCCTGAACTCAAGTGATCTGCCCACTTAAACCTCCTAAAGTGCTGGGATTATAGGCATGAGCCACCTCACCCAGCCCCAAACTGTCCTTATCGACAAAGATTGTTTCCCATCCTTCTATGTACGTGCACCCACACACTTATGCATGCACTCACATTTTCCTGGGTTTGATTTATTCATTCTCTTCCCCTTAACCAGTTGAGAACAAGCAGTTTGTGATTTGAGGTCACCTTGCCTGTGAGTGATAGAATGTCAGCCCTCTTCTCCAGTCCTTGAATCTGATAGCGTTATCACCACAATAGGGGCACTTCTCAATGTAAAGAAGAGTCCTAATGCATCGCTGAGTGACTCCCCTTGCTTTGCCAAGTGAGCTCACTGGCTGGCAGAGGCCAGTGGCAGAATCCACCTATAATCCTGGCCAGTGTCAACACTCATTGTTATGTTCACACTGCTCATTTCATAGCCTCCTAAACAGAGCCCAGAGAAAATTGAAGATGTGGTTATGGGTCGTTAAAGCTCTTTTGACCTGCTAGTATTTTTCCAAAATAAAAGTATCTTCTTTTCATTCAATATAATTTCCAGCTTCAATTTTGAGTATGTAGCTGTGCAGGCCTCTTACACATCGTAAAAAAACAGAATCTCAAAACAGTAATCCAGCAGTTTTGACTGGATCATTCAAGCATGATCAAATCAGATCAAAGTTGTAGATAATACTCTTCCAAAAAAAATTTAACAAATTCATATCCAGGATTCATTGTATTGTAGACACCATTCCAGGCACTGAAGAATACACCCAACAATCAATAAAAACAGCATCCCTGTTTCCTTGAAATATATTCTGGTGGAGTTTCCAAACAATAAACAAATAAAAATGATAAAAACATCAATAGTGATACATGCCTTGCTGAGAAATAAGGAAACAGAAGGAATGCCCAGAAGGCAACTCTCTATGGTCTGGGTTTGGGACAGACTCTCTGAGGAAGTGATAGCTAAAATGAGATCTAAATAATGAGATGGTGAGAGAGTGTTCTGTTCCAAAGGACACTTGACCTGAAAGTCATAGTACATGCATCATGGACAAAAGAAAGATGGGCTAGAAAAGACCTTATTTGTGACTTTTTTCCAAATATGTGTTAGTTTTCATGCATATATGAATTATCTTTAGTTACTTGACCCTGCTACTACATGAAAAACTATACTATATATGTATGTTATATATATGCACTGTATGCCATATATAAACTATAGCATATTTATGTGTACAAACTATATATATGGTATATATATATATATCCACACACATGTATATAGTTGCATGAAAACGAACACACATTCAGAAGCAAATCACAAATCACATATTTTCTAGCCCACTGTTTGTCCATAATGTGTGCGTGTGTGTGTGTGTGTGTGTGTGTGTGTGTGTGTATTCCTTTTCCAGTTATCAGGTATTAAACATTGCAAATGATTTTAGCAATCCTTCCTGTCTGATTTGCTGTTTGCATGGGAGTAGGCTAGCTATTATCCTGGAGGCCAAACATGGCTAGAGTCACCGGGGGCTGAGGACACTGAGGAGAGAGGTCTATTCTAATGCGGTTGGTTAATTGGTGCTGTGAGGGGAAAAGAGAGTTTCACATCCTTACTCTGCATTCTCCCATTCTGTTCTCGGGTGACATGAAAGCTCCTCGTGGCTGCTGGTGCCCTGTGTCAAATGCTCCCCTTCTTTCCGGCCTCTGCACTGACAGCCATCAGAGCTGCTTCCCTGCAGTTTGACAGCCTGGCATAATGGAGCAGAAGTGCTGTGCTAAGAAACAAACTTTAGAAATACACACTTAAAAGCACTTTGTAGGAACTTGCAAGGATACATGTTCTTTCAAAATCTGTTACCAAGAAAAATATACACCATCCTTTGAGGGATGAGGAAAAAAAAAACAAAACGCCAGAAGATGGGACTAGAAACAAATCGCATTTTTCACCAAAAAATAGACGGTAGCCCACTGGTCTCTGATTTAACTGAAGGTTTCTGTTTCAGTAATTCTAAAAGAAAGTCCCAAACCACTAGCCCCTTTAAAGAGCATTCTGTGTATTCGAGCATGCATCAGGCTCGGGCTTTCTCCGGTGGAGAGTGGAGGGAGGTGCAGGGTGGGAAAGCCACAGCTTGACTTCTGGAAGGATGAACTCTGAAGCAGTTTCTATTTCTGCTTTATAGATGGTGTCAACACTGTCACTGTGCCTGGTCCCACTTCAGAAGAGGCAGTTGAAGACCGTAAAAAGGAAGGTATGAGACCTCTAACTACATCTAAAAATTGCAGACTCTTAAAAGAGACTATCCGGGCTTTGTTTATGTTGAAAATTGAAGCAGCAAGTCAAATATAACTAGGTTTTCTTAAGTGTCTCTGTTTCCAATACAATCGAGTATCCCATCTACTCTCTTTTATTACATATCCGGCCTCTTTAGAAATTATATATATATGTGTGCGTGTGTGTGTATATATATAATATTTACATTTGTTCCTTTGGAAATGTTCTGTTTACGAAATGAGAGAACGACCAGAGAAATTGTTTAGAGACATTTATCTGAAACACCAGAATTAGTCCTGCTGTTTACAGCCACTCATCAGGAAAAGGTTTGAAAGAGTGGCATTTGAGGACCTCCAACCAGGGAGCACCATTTTTCAAAAAAGAAAGAAATATTTGAAAGGCATTTTTAGAAATGAATCTTTGGCAAGAACATCATTCTCCATTCTGTCGACAGTTACTCTGAGAAAATGTTGCTGACCCAAGTAGTATTTCCAGGAAAAGAAAAAAAAAGTAAAAGAAAATCTCAGTTTTCTAGGAGACAATTTGAGGAAGGAAGAAGTAGTGGAGATATTGATGTGGGGATGCTAGAATTGAAAAATATATATCTAAAGGAAAACAAAATAGTCCTCCCTTTTCTGGCTCTCTTGGATCACTGGCAAGTCCCCAAATGAAAAGGTAACATAGGCATACATTGTTTTCTTGCACTTTGCTTTACTCTGCTTTGAAAATATTGCATTTTTTACAAATTGAAGTTTTGTGGGAACCCTGCATCAAGCAAGTCTCGGGATCATTTTTCCAATAGCTTGTGTTCATTTCATGTCTCTGTGTCACACTTTGATAATTCTCACAATATTTCAAACCTTTTTACTATTACTCTATCTGTGGTGATCTGTGATCAGTTATCTTTGATGTTACTATTATAATTGTTTGGGGGTGTTATGTGCTGTGCCCATATAAGTGAACTTACTTAGTAAATGTGGTTCTGACTACTCCACTTACCCACCATTACCATGTCTGTCTCCCTTTTCTTGGGCCTCCCTATCCCCTAAAATACAATATTGAAATTAGGCCAACTAATAGACCTACAATGGCCTCTATGTGTTCAAGTGATAGGAAGAGTTGCATACTAAATCACACTTTAAATCAAAAGCTATGATCACACTCAGTGAGGAAAGTATGTTGAAAGCTGAGATAGGCTGAAATCTAGGCCTCTTGTACCGAGTTGTGAATGCAAAGGAAAAGTTCTTGAAGGAAATTAAAAGTGCTGCTCCAGTGGACACATGAATGATAAGAAAGTAAAACAGCCTTACTGCCAGTGAGGAGAAAGTTTTAATGGTCTGGACAGATGATCAAACCAGCCGTAAAATTCCCTAAGCCACAGCCTACTCCAGAGCAAGGTACCAGCCCTCTTCAATTCTACTAATGCTAAGAGAAGTGGGAAAGCTGCAAAAGGAAAGTTGTACATTAGCAGAGGCTGCTTAACAAGGTTTAAGGAAACAAGCTGTTTCCATTACATTAATGTGCCAGGTGAAGTGGCAAGTACGTATGGAGAAGCTGCAGCAAGTTATCCAGAAGATCTTGCTAAGATCACTGATGAAGGTGGCTACACTAAACAATAGATTGTCCATGTAGACAAAACAGCCTTCTTTTGGAAGATGAGGCCATTTTACACTTCATAGCTAGAAGGGAGAAGTCAATGTCTGGCTTCAAAGGACAAGCTGGCTCTCTTGTTAGGGGCTAATGCAGCAGACGACTTTTAAGGTGAAGACAACACTCATTCACTATTCCAAGAATCCTAGTGCTCTTAAGAATTAGGTGAAGTCTACCCAACCTGTGCTATGTAAATGGCACAACAAAGCCTGTATTATAGCACATCTGTTACTGAACAGCATTGTTACTGAATATTTTAAGCCCACTGTTGAGACCTACTGCTCAGAAAAAAAATGATTCTTTTGAAAATATTACTGCTTATTGGCCATGTACCTGGTCTTCCAAATGTTCTGATGGAGATGTACAAGGAACTTAATGTTGTTTTCGTGCCTCCTAACACATCTATTCTGCAGCCAATGGATTGGGGGTAATTTTGACTTTCGAGTCTTTCTATCTAGAAATATATTTTCTAAGACTCTAACTGCCAAAGATAGTGATGCTGTCCTCTGATGAATCTGGGCAAAATAAACTGAAAACCTGGAAAGGATTTACTATTCTAGATGACGTTAAGAATATTCACTGATACATGAGAGGAGGTCAAAATATCAACATTAGCAAGGGTTTGAAAGAAGGTGATTCCAACCTGTATGGATGACTTTGAGAGATTTAAGACTTCAGTAGAGGAAGTAACTAAAGATGTGGTAGAAATGTCAAGAGAACTAGAAGTGGAGACTGAAGATGTGACTGAACTGCAATCTCATGGAAAACTTGCACAAACGAGAAGTTGTAACTTATTAAAAAAGAAAGTGATTTTTGAAATGAAATCTGCCCCTGGTGAAGGCACCAGAGTTTGAGAATATCAAGTTAATTTTTTTTTTTTTTTGAGATAGAGTTTCACTCTTTTGCCCAGGCTGGAGTGCAATGGTGTAATCGCAGTTCACTGCAATCTCTGCCTCCCAGGTACAAGCAATTCTCCTGTCTCAACCTCCCAAGTAGCTTGGATTACAGGCATGTGCCATCATGCTCAGCTTTTTTTTTTTTTTTTTTTTTGTATTTAGTAGAGACAGGGTTTCACTGTCTTAGGCTGGTCACGAACTCTTAACCTCAGGTGATCTACCTGCCTCAGTCTCCCAAAGTGCTGGGATTACAGGTGTGTACCACCACACCTGGCCTTATTGAGTTCAGTTTTAAGATAATTTCTACTGTGGGTAAAATACCATCAAACAGCATTGCATGCCACAGAGAAATCTTTTGTGAAAGGAAGAGACAATTATTGTGGCAAACTTCATCATTGTCTTATTTTAAGAAATTACCATAGCTACCTCAACCTTGAGCAACCAAGTGGTGGCCACCAACACTGAGTGGCCAGTAGTGGCCTTCAACATTGAGGTAAGACCCACCGCCAGGTAAAAGATTTCCAGTTGCTGAAGGCTCAGATGATGATTAGCATATTTTAGTGAAAAAGTATTTTTCAAGGAAAGTACATTAACTGTTTTTTAAGATACAGTGTGTCTAAAACTATAACTGATGTTAAATACTCATGTAGAATCTGATAGGAAACCCTAGGGCATCTCAGAGAGACAAATAAATCTGATCAAAGGTGATCAGAGTGAAAACCAAGAAAGTGGTGTTCATCTTAAGCAAAAGTTTTGGACATTCCAATCATTTAGTCTGTGATAAAAACTGTAGAGTGTCATGAAGTTGAGTGGCAGAGTTTAAAAACATGAAAGAGGGATAATTTAATTTGAATGTGGCCATGTTTCAGGCTGAGATTTCTCCTGTTGAGTTGTTTAGTTTGGAGATATCACACCTTCACAGAAGCACATTGTTTGTCATGTTTTTTGATGCTTTTAGGATCTCACACCATTAATTGCTGATGCCAAGATTTGCTTTTTGGAATACTCTTAGGATTTTTTTTTAACGTAAAACTTTTAATGATGGTAACTCCATCAAGAGGTACTGTCATGTATCACAAATACAGTTCCTATGTAAGACTAAACGTGAAGTTTTATGAGTATTACTGAAATAAGTCATTAATATCCATTAACCTATTTACTTAGGGAAAATAGAAATATTTTGTAATCCACACTAGTATGCAATCTTCTTTCATTAAAAACAGAATGCTTAGGGTATGATTTTTGTCTTTTTCTTCTGAAATAGCATGTATAGGAAGCCACTGTTTTTAATTGATTATCAGTTCAAAGCTTAGACCAGCTCAGAACAAGTGTCTAATGCTTATGGAACTACCATCTTGACTGATAGATACATAACTTAGAATTTAAAAAAATCCACTGAAATCCTTTAAGATTGAGGTCAAGATAAGGTTAAAAGGCAGTCATATGTGTTGAGGATTCATTTCAAACATTCTCCATTATTAGCTTTCCTGCAGAAATATCTCTTCTCAGTGACATCTGGGCTATTTTAGAGAGCTGCAGTTCTAAGACTGCTTATAGAAATGCTCATTACACTCTCCAGTGTAAGTGGCAGAACATTTTCGCTGATCAGATGTCCTGAAGAAGCCCTTGCTCTCGAGTTTTTCAGACTTTGATCCTGACCAAGCATCTCCTTTGGCTTGAGAATCACTGATATTATGGACAGTCTTTGTTTCTCTTTCTAATATAACTCCCGAGGATTTTGAGATTCATTCAGTTATTTCCAGCTTTGCTTGTTAGTGGGCTGGCTTTACATTTGTGATAAGCCTGGTCTCCACAGGAAACTAGCATCTTCTAGAATACAAGGATTGAAAACAAACAAAAAATAAGATGACTAACATCCCTTTGGAGACAAGATTTTTAAAAAATTAGAATAGTCATGTGAAAGTTGAAGAATTTCAAAAGGAAGTACTGTAACCCAGGTGTCCTCTATGCCAGCAATTTTGTTTTAATGTTCTAGACATAGTTTCCACTGGGAACCAAAAACCCATGCTTGCTGCCCACTTACCCCATGCACTTGCTAGCTGTGCCAGCTGCCAACAGAAGGAGATGCAACTGACTGGCTCATGGATCAAGAGCTAGATTGTGAGCTACACACTGATGGCACCTGTTCCCAGTGAGTCATTACAGCCATAGGGTGGGCAGGAGTTGAGCCAGGAGCATGAGATATTAGCAGGAAGAATGCTGATGAATAATTCATCTAGAGTGCATGCCAAGGATTTGGCAACCAGGATCGAATTGAAATTAACTCCAAGGTAAAGTTGGCTGGGGAAAAGATCTGTGGGTTGGTATGTGTTCTGAGGTTATTTGTGAAATAGGATGTGTACTTATCTCTTGAGGACTTCCTCCTCTACTGGTTAAAAATACTCTGTTGATTTAATGGTGGTTTGCACTT